GCTAAATTTTAGTTTTAATTAAACGGGTTTTTTTATTAACTAAAGGTTATTTTTTACACTAAAAATTACACGAACAATATTAGAAATTCTACAAACAGTATCCATGAAAAATATTTATATTATTTTGCGACATGAATACTAAAAAACTACAAAAGCAAAACATAAAAATGTTTAAAGTTCAATAAATATGCATGAGTCGCAATTTTATTACATTTCATTATTTCATCCCAATGTCTTACAGATAAGCATTAAATTAATACTAAAACTGAGAGTACTTTCAATTATTAAAGAAATGCAGTAAATATGTATTGATGCATCTTTAACTAGCTTTCCCTCGCGGCTTTGCCCACGTAAACACAATAATTCCCTTCGCCTTATATATCACCAATCGTGCAGCTGATTATTATGTTATATGATTCCGATCCCAATCATGAATTTGTTCCTATCAGTGCTCCTGCTCGCAAATCTTATTCAGTATCAATGTTAACATTGATCTTTCCTTGGACATTGTCATACCAATGAACAATAACCAATCGGTGTAAGAAGTCTGTTCTACGTTCACACGAGCGAAACCGACAACAAAAATTAGTGCGTTATAAAACCTGTCCATATAACACATTTTTGTACTAAGATAATAATCAATTAAATTAGATCAACGATTTTCGATTTATTATCGCACAAACGGAAAAGACACACAGAGAGCCATTGTGTTATACAACATACAAGGACGGACATACAAACTCCAAAGCAGCACATTTTTAGTATTTTATTATACTTTTTGATAAAAAAATAAATAAAATGAATTAAGCAATTTAACCAAAATAAATTACGTTAACCTTTTTGCTTTAATGCTAAAAATAATGATTCCCTTTCAACCCTTCGAGGGTGGTTCGTCCGGGATTATTTTGGCGAAGGTGAACGTTTTTGTTATTGTTTAATTACATCGTGGTCGTAATACCTAATATTAATTCTGGGTGTAATTTTTACGTCTGCCCATCTCCGCGTCGAAATCTCGTTTATTCTACAATGAAAACGATTTTTCTTTGTTCGAGTATTAGCTAAATACTACCAGGCGTATAGATGTGTGACTCACACTGGGTGAGATCAGATGATTTCGGACTTCGGCACAGAATCATTTGTAGATGATCGTAAGTTATTTGCAATATTATAAATGCAAAAGCGTGATTGCTTGGACAGTTGGACGGATTGTGGTAAAATTTTGTATCGATAATTTAGGATAACTATTATCGATAGGATAACTTTTATGTAAAAAAATGTTTAAATGCCCGTAAAAATGGTAGTTTATTATCACTAAAATCAATGCCCAAGGGAGGAGCAAGATCAGTACGGACACCGATATTAAAATTGTATGTGGGACCGGAACAGGCCTCGGCGATAGAATCAGAATTAAATCAGATTCAAATTTAAAATATCTTTATTTCATAGGTTATAATATAATACTTAAAATACGTCATAACATTTTAGAAAGTTTCAGTTTTTTTTAATTATTTTATCATTACCCTTTTTTTAATTACCGCTCGTTTGTAAGGCCCCGTCCCTCAAGAAGAACGAGCAAGAAACTTGAGAATAGCTCTTTTCAAACCAATTATATAGGAATATAATCATATACAATACTATTGCAGGAAACAACCTGTAAAAAGTCGAGCCCATTATGTCCATTTATCCTCTAATTATTCAGAAATTGTATGATACCCTTTTGTACAAAATACTTGATTAATAAATACTTTAAATTTGTATAAGGGTAATTTTGTACATCTATAGGAATCTTATTGACCACGCGCACACAAAACCCCTAAATGAATTTGTGACCTTATACAGCGGATTAATATGTAAACATCGTTTATTTTTATTTTTAGTATTGAAATTATGTCTATCACTATTTTTATTAAGACATTCCAAAATTTTTTTACATACATTAAATATTCATAAATAAACTGTGATGCCATAGTTAAAATTCCAATTTCTTTAAACTTACTTCTAAGAGAAACACGAGGTCCCAGCCCGTAAATTGCGCGAATGACCCAATGACCCGCTTTTACCAAACGAAAATTCTGTGAACATCCGCAGCACATTCCCAAAGCAGAATGCCATACGATATCAAGCTATGGAAATAGCCAAAATAAACCGATCTGGCGGTTTTGATATCGGAAAAAATTCCTATTTTCAAATGCATTAGAACAAAGCCTTTTTGCCAACTCATTGATATGAGGACCCCACTGAAGTTTATTATCCAAAGTAAGACCTAGGTATACAGTAGTGTCAATAAGCTCTAACTCCTCGTTTCTTATTAAAATATAACCAGATTTATTTTTCACATTCGGAAATGAGAATTTCATACACTTTGTTTTCTTCCTATTAAGAAGTAAATTATTAAGAGTAAACCATTTTTCAATTTTGGAGATAGCAATGTTCACATCGTCATAATCGAGTGGAAGTCTTTTAACTTTAAATAGTAAAGACGAATCATTTGCGAACAGTACTATCTCATGAATATCTTTAACAAGGCTCGGTAAGTCATTAATATAAACTAAAAACAGAAACGGACCAAGGATCGATCCCTGTGGGACTCCTATGCAGACCACGAATCCAGTCGATCTCATGTTATTGATATCGACCTTCTGTACTTTATTAGTCAAATATGATGCCCGTAAGTCGAGTGCTCAACATGTAACTTCATAATGATGTAGTTTCCTCATTAGTGTTTCATTATTTACACGATCAAACACCTTTGAGAGATCGCAAAACACTCCCATCCCATTCTGCGAATACTCCCAGGCATCAAAAATTTTTCCAATAAGCTCAACACCAGCATCGATTGTTGAGTGACTCCGTGTGAAAGCGAATTTTCATTTGGACATTAGATTATCACTACAAAAATGTAGAAGTTGATTTAAGATAAAATTTTCAAAAGTTTTACTTAATATCGGCAGTACAGATTATAGGCCTAAAGTTAGTGAGGTTTGATGTACTACCCGCTTTTGAATATGGGAACAACTTTGTTTTCTTTCATCAGATCAGGAAACAAGCCAACATCCAAACTTTTATTAAAAACGAGTGCCAAATGTGGTGCAATACAATCAAGAATGAAGTTTACAATTTTAACTAACAGATCATGTAGATCATCAGTCTTTTTCATATCCAACAACTTGAATATTTTTATAATCTCTTTCTAATTTATATATTTAATTTCTAAATTAATATTAGTAAGCTTTCCTGAATTTATTATTATTTTTCTTGATTAAGAATTCAGCAAGAGCAGGAGATGAATTGAAAGATTTGGTAGTCCAAATTGGAATTTCAATAGAAAATGTTTCAAAGGCGTCGGCAAATTCTACGTCTTTTTTTAGAATGTCATCATTTATCTTGAGTTGGAAGTCAAAATCGAACCTTTAATTTTGGTAATTTCGTTCTTTTTTGAATCAAGAATTGTGATTGGGATTAGAATTGTCAGCGACATCGACTGATGCGTAAGATGAAGGAATTCATCATATGTCCACGTTAGTAAAACCACGGGCACATTTGAATCTTTAAAAAACAATCATTGTTATATTTAATTTACATCCAGCGGAGCGGTCGGATAACAGATAACGCTGAACAAATGTTGTTTTATAAAAAAAGTGATTTTATCAAGGATTATTCCTTCAAATTATATTGAATAGGCAGTAAACTTGACGATGATTTCAATATATACGCAGGTTAACATCTAACTTCACCCACCAATGTTATATATTAATAGACTGTTAAAACAAAGTTAAGAACTGTTTCATAGGCAGAAATGATTATAGATTTGAATTAACGGCCTGGTAACTGTAAACATTTCTTGGTGCAAATAGATGTAATACCCATGACAAATCAGTGTAAAGCTGATTATAAGGTATTAAAACTCTCTCTTTTTAAAGATTTATTATTTTAGTCGAATCCAGTCGTAAAGTTTATGACTTGATAACATTGTGTAATAAATACTAAAAAAGTGCATTATATGCATATATTAAGATAATAATATTATGCCTAAGATATAAGTTTTTACTCATCCAAATGGCTTAAGTTTCAGCATTAATTTCATGTTTTTAAATTATTGAATCATATACCCCAGATTTTTTCAGTTAAACAGGGAAGAAAAATAAAGTGATTCATTGATGCCATTTCCTTATCATTTTATAATTTATGCTGAAAATTACAAATGATGGAGGAATAGTGAAAAAAAGAAAACGTATTCGAAAACTTATCTAAATCAATTTTCATAAGTAGGCTCAGGCGAGTGGCTCTTTCCAGGAATCTCTAAGCTAACACGATTAGGCACTGTGGAACCTGCTACTGGTAAACTAATCGAGTTTAGATTCATTGGATTTGTCTTCAGGAGTCCAATTCATTACCCGTAGTGTAGATAATGTGGTGAAAAATCTAGATCCATGGTAATAAATGCTTAATGGCTACGTCGTTACACCTTGATGAGGGTGTGATTGCGCAACCGGAAGGTGAATATCAAAATTTATCGATGGCTTGTGTGGATGGTGTGGAACTAAGAAATCTCATTCATCATATGATACAGATCATTAGATCGTCACATGCACCTAGTTAGAGATATTAGGTCATGAGCATCAGGCGCATCGTCGTTATAAATATTCTAGTCAACCCATTTACAGTCCGCCCATTTACGAATCGCAGTTGGTGATTGATTGATGATAGATTGCATTAGATGATTTTGAATAGAATATTGAAGTGAATAATAAAAAATCAAAAAGACTCGAAAGTAGCAAGGTAAAGACAAGGTTTCAATGGGAAATAAAAGAAAATATTCAATAATTGTAAACAATAAAAAGATTAATAAATTGCAGTTTACGCCTTAAGAACTTATTTTCATATAAGGCGCTCGAAGTGGAAACTTTATGAGGAGTGAAATTAACAAGCGTTAACTCAAAGTGTTGTATATTTTTTATATGTATTTCATCTTTCCTATTATTTTTAAAATTGCGTTCAGTGGTAGCATAGCCGACCGGTCTAAGGCGCTGTTGAAGGCATTTAATATCTTTGGAGGCGTGGGTTCAAATCCCACCGCTGCTAACATTTTTTTTTATTTAACTTTATAAAAATGTTTTCGGTAATTCATAACATTATTATATGCAAAAATAGGAATTACTATTTCATATAATGGTGTTTTATAATTTTTACCACCTACTTATTTGATAAGAGTTAATTGCGATTGCAGAAATTTTTATTTAGGCATACCATTTTCACAAATTTATAACATCCTTTTATGTAACATGATTTATGTATAATATTTTGCCGTATTGATATACATAAATATGAATGAAATATAAACAAAATGGCAATTATATAATACATGTTATTTATTCTAATATTATAATATATGTTATTTATTAAAAACAATTGGCTTAAAAACAAACTCCAGTCGCGCGTCGAAGCTGACAAACCAAATTTTTTTTCTCCACTATTGTATTGTTTGCAATTAATAAATACGTCGATTTATAATATTATATATCATTGTCAAAGAGGCGGAAAAATTTCAAAATTTTCAAGTTTCACGTGTATTTCGTTGCATACAGATATTTTTTCATACAAAACGAATATTGTGTAAGCATTCTTCCCTTCTGCATAAGTCCAGGACAAACAATATTTCCTGAGTAACTTGAATTTAGCGCGTTTTATTAGTTACGATATACGGATTAACAGCTTCGTAGGATACAGACTCGAAGATTAAGTGAATTTTCTTATGGCATCCTTTATCGAGGCAACCATTTACATGGGCTTGACTTAAGGTCGTAACTAATCGTGTAGATTTAGACTGCTAGGACTGTAGATAAGTTAAGGTATTCAAATTTGGGCCAAGAAAAGGTTTCTACTTATTGACGTTCTAGTAATTAAACTTTCGTTATTACAATGGAAAACCTTTGCCCGTTCACCTTTTACTGTTATTTCCTTGGGGATTTCATAGTTTAGTTGTAGTACTAAGTAATAAGTAGACTTAGATTAGATTTTCAGATGAAGGGCAACCTTAGAAGGTCAAAGTTCAATAGGAGAAAATTTAACTCGATACCACTCAGAAAACTTCGACTTAAAGGAGTAGGAGGGATCGAATTTCTAATATCTTTTGCATTTAACTACAAGCCGAATATCTATTACTCAATTAAATTAACGAAATGCTCAAAAAGAAAATGAGCTCGTTCAAAGAGACCAGGAATCAAAGATTTACATTAATAGCCTCTATATTATGCTACTATACTGTATACTAGCTTTCGATTCGCGATTTTGCGGGCATGGATATGGAATAAATATTTTATTGTATGACCTTTTATTCTGATACGAGGGCTGCTATTTATGTAACCGGAACTGGCCACATAAAGAACAATATTTAAAAATTAATTACAACATATAATAATGGATCTCCTTGGCTGTAGAATACAGTTCTATTCATGTAACTATCAATTATTTTACCATTGTGGGGTCATTTTTAAAAGTGAATTTATTACCATGGATTTAACTCGTGAACATTTTCGTGCTATGATTTATTACGATTTTCGGGGTGGGCTAACTCTAAAACAGTGTATCAATCAACTCACTTTGATTTACGGGAATGAAGCACCATCAAAAATCACTGTGTATCACTAGTTTAGTGAGTTTAATCATGGTCGGTCTATGCTCACGGTCAAATTTAATAAAGGTCGCCCTAATTCGGCTGTTGTACCACAAAATATCGATACTGTGCGAAAAGTAATAATGCAAAATTGTCATGTTACATATTGCGAGATAAAGGCGTCCCTGGCAATAAGTATAATGATCATTGAAAAAATGTTACAGGAAAATTTAGCTATAAAAAAAATTGTAGGCGTTTGATTCCGCGCAATTTGAGCATTGATCAAAAACAAGCTCGTGTCGATTGGAGCAAAAAAATGATAAAAAAAAAACAATCAAGGTGCGTCAAATGCTGTTTATAATGTCTACACAGGTAATGAAGCTTGGATCTATGCGTATGGTCCCGAAACTAAACAACAGTCAACAGTGTGGGTTTCCAAGGTGAGCCAAACTTAACAAAGTGATTCCTGTGATGCGGTTACTGTGTCACTAGAAAATCGTAAAACAGTTCATTCAGAGTGGTACATAACTATTTGTTGCCCAGAAGTCTTTGAAGAAATAAGAAAGAACAACCGAAATCGCACAGTCATTCTTCATTAGGAATGCTAGCTGTCACACGTTGGCCGAAACTACTCGGTTTTTGGAAGGTCAAAAGATCGAATTGACGGGTCATCCGCCGTACAGCCCCGATTTGGTAGTCAACGATTTCTATTTATTCCCAAGCGTGAATAATAAATTACGAGAATAACATTTTTCGAGTCGCGAATAGGCCGGCGATGCTTTTAAAATGCACATTTCGGAGAAATCTCAATCAGAATTAAAAAAAGTGCTATAAAAATTGGTTTCAGCGTATATGCAAAAGTACATCGATCGTTATGGCGAATATTTTGATAGGTAATAAAACCATATTAAATGATAGATGTTTGTTTCTTTTTGATATTCCGGACACACAAATAGCAGTCTTCGTACCGGTTCCATTCGCGATTTTGATCCGGTTGCGTCAACATTGTCCAATTAAAATTCTGCTACCGCCCACGGTTCCAAATAGGATGAAGCTGGGGAAAATATTACTTTTGCTTAGGGATGGTGTATGTAGGGATGGTTTTTATTAGCGAAGAGGTTTTTAGGACTAAACTTAGATTAAGTCGGGAACAAACATCACTTTTTTTTTCTCAGAAACCTTTCCGTTTACGCGTTCAACATTTCACACACTCACCAAAATTTCAATCTAGTCGAATTGGATGAAATCCTCAAAATAATAGAAAAAACTTTATCGAATCCGTCGTGTAGTTTAGGGGAACCAAACGTTCAAACAGACAGACAGACGCGGATAGCGACTTTGTTTTATACTATTATATTTAGTGGCCTGGCGTTTTAAAAAAGGGCTAAGTTTTAACCACCAGAAAGCGACGAGCTTACATGAAGCGATTGATCGATGTCAGTGAAGCGAGAGAGTAAAAATATTATTTTATGAGAAGCTGCGTATAAACTGTCAATAAAGAGATCAGAACACTTTATATATATATGCTAGCCTCCGCCCGCTGCTCTGCCTGCATAGATTGAATAAATTCATTCATTTTAATTACATCGAGTGATTACGATAATTAATTATGTTCCTAACTGCAATCCTATTGTTTGATAGTATTAGTATGAAACTGGCGATCGTAGTATATCATAATATTTAATGATTTAAGCACGCAAAAAAAACCATCAAATACAGACTCTTTTTTATATATCACACAACCTTGCTCCCCGAATGTAATAAAAACTTTCAACTTAACAAAAATTCAACGTTCCTTAACTTCAATAAAGAGCAAATTACACTCACACACACAGATACAGGCAACTAAATTAACCAAATGAAAATGACCACTAAGGAAATAAAGAAAATATGATTGTTTTTTTACACAGTGCAGAAATAAAATAGAGCCTATTATTTTTGCAATAACTGGTGCTAACTATACACTAATTTTCATTAAGAATTAACAAACCGTTCTTAAGCTATAAACAAAGATGAATACAAACAAACAGACAGACTGACAGTTAGTAGCCTACCATTCGTATAATCATATGTTCTTACTGTATACCAATTTTCATTAAATTCCATGAAGCATTTGACAGACTGAGAGACAGTAGTCTATTATATACGCAATCACATATTCTTACTGAATATAAATTTTCATCAAATTCGGTAAATTTATTTTTAAGTTATAAAAGAAGATGCATACATAAAAACACATAGATAAACATACAGGCAGACTGACTAACCGCTTTAGTACGCTTGCTTTGGGTATTAATTTAACGCGCTTGAATTATTTAACTGCACTTAATTGAGGTCTATGATTAAGTATGATGTTATTGCATTAACTTTTCTACGTCTACATATAAATTTAAAACAATAAGTGACACAGTTTAGTAAAGAGATTTATCCATCCGTAGCATTAATCTTATGATGCAATATCTCACGTTGGTAGAAAATTCGAACGGGTCGGTTGCGACGTGTGGCAATTGCGCAATGCAACAATGATGAACGTATTATTAAATAAAAATTTATGTCTTAAATAGCAAAGTCTTATACGACAAGTTCAAACAACAAAACCATATGTTAAATAATAAATTTATATCGCAAGCAATAAATCAAAATGTCGTAAAACTGACCATGGATCATCTTTATCGTGAACTAAAGCATTAGGCTATTAGTTAGGGCGACCCAAGAGGACTAGCGTGTGCGTGATAACGAATCACATATTGCAATAGTTTCTCCTACTTATGCGATATTGTATCGCACAAAAATAATTCTACTGGCTTCTTGTAACTGTTCCATCACACATTTATTTCATATACAGAGCCAAAAAACCTTTTGCATGTAACCTATAAAGTTTCATATACATACATACAATAATGTGCATATCTACAATCGTTTAGGAGTTAGCAACGTTTTCGAGAAAGAATTTTAGGTCAGCTGATTTTTTATATATCATCCTTCTGACTCTTCTCAAACAGCGCTTGCCCAGTCTGGCAGGTGGTAGCGGCGGCATTGATTACTGCGTATCCCACCGGTACAGGTAAAAACATTAATTTTAAAATAACTATAGGACGTCTAATCTCTTTTTTACCGACTTTTGATAGGCTTAACAGGCATGAATATCACATTGCCAGACGTTTTTATTATTGCTAATTGTGTAAAAAAAAAAAAATCAAAGTATTTCTATAATTTTGATATAATGTTCCATTACAATCGAAAAGCCTATAATATTCGCCAGACAATATTCAGTTCAGTTATTAATAATAAGTTAGACGGATAAAACCCAGAGAGTCGAGTCGGTATGATAGAAGAGTGCAGTCAGCTGTGAGACAGTGAGTAAGAGAGTTAGACAGTGCCAGTGGCGAAAACGGTAAGCTTTCAAGATGGCGTCAGCGTAAAGTCATATGTTGATGTTTGTGTTTGTTTCTAATGTTTGCATTAAAAC